TGACTGATTAAGGGTTTAGTGGGAATGCTGTGACACAGGCTCTGTCTACTACTAGACATAAATCCTAGTAGTACTTGGCAATCACCTTGGGGACCATGCAGGGATCAAATATCTATAGGGGCAACTAATACCAAGGAAGCTAAAGTGAGAAACGGCAAATGAGAAACCAGACATTGTTTGAACTTTGGATAAAAGCTCATTTCAAATAATATACAACAATCAATTTTTAAAAGCTCATTAAACTAAATTTTACATGAGTAGGTTTCAAAAAGTATTCTATTATATGCTTTAGACTACACCTCTCTCTTTCTCTGAATGTATTTTGTTTGGTACAAAACATAATCAAATAGTAAAAATTAGAAGAAAAAGATAAAGAAATCAATAAAAACAGAATTGAAAATCTAGAAATAGACCCAAATATAAGCAAAAATGTGGTACATAGTCAATTCAGTGAAGAACGAGAATTATTCAATAAATGATGTTGGAACATTTGAACACCTGTAAAAATAATGAAGTGAGGTTCTACTCAAAATATATTCTAATTGTAGAGTTAAATGTAAAAAGAGGAAGGAAGGCAACAGAAGGGGAGGAGAGAAAAAGAAAATCAAAAAAGAACCAGACGAAAATATAGATAAATATTTATCTGATTCAAGGTATCGAAGGACTTCCTAAGCAAAATACCAAAGACAGAAAAGACGACAGCTAGCTAGATAGCTAGATAGCCTGACAGACAGAGGTTGAAAGAACAGCCTTCATAAAAATTAAGGAAATCCAGACCTCAAAAAATGCCATCAACGAAATTACTTTAACTATATCAAAATTACTTTAATGGTAAAGTGGGAAATTACTTCCAATGTACATGATAGACAATGAATTAACATTTCTAATATATAAAGAACACATATGAATCTATTAGAAAAAGATAAAGATGCATATTTTCAAAAGAAAAACATATATATTACAAATCTGATAAGCAAAAGTTGATTGCCTGTTAACCAAAAAACTTCTGGGAAAAGAGCTGATTAATAAAAGGGGTCTATTGGGGCCAGCCCCGTGGCTGAGTGGTTAAGTTCGCGCGCTCCACTTCGGCGGCCCAGGGTTTTGCCAGTTCAAGTTCTGAGCACAGACATGCCATCACTCATCAGGCCATGCTGAGGCGGCGTCCCACATGCCACAACTAGAAGGACCCACAACTAAGAAAACACAGCTATGTATTGGGGGGGCTTTGGGAGAAAAAGCAAAAAGAAAATCTTTAATAAATAAATGAATAAAAGGGGTCCTTGCACTAACTCATAAAGGAAGCTGTGTGTATATGTGGATATTTAAGAATTATACACATAAAAACCCAGATCATGATGCAACAGAGATTTAAATTTATGACAAATGCCCCAAATTTACATAAAAATCTCAAAAATTTAATGGAGTCTGAGCCATTGGGATATAGTCAATAATTCTTCTAATAATGTATCCTCTTTACTCATTACTGTTTGCTAAGATTTGGGTTGAGCAGTATGACAGGGCTAACATGGAAATTAATAATTTTATCCACATCGTGATTAACATTTTATAACTTGGTGAGTTTAGTTCTGAAGAGAAATAAGGATGATTTTCCACTAGAGGGAAAGAATTTAAATGGCTTCAGTAACACTAAACGAAATAGAACAATTTCTCTTTGTTTCTGGCTGACTCAATAGTCATTTGTTAAATTATTTATTTAAAAAATATTATTCAAAGGTACACAGTATTTCTACAATGATTTGATAAAGGCTCAAGCTTACACAACATTCATTTTTAAAGTACCTGATTTTGCTTTCAACTACTTCTTGCAGAACCTTTCTTCTTTGCTTAGTCCCAAGTACGTTTTACATATTAACTGTGTAAGGTCCATCTGTACATATTCATTCACATACATTTGGATGTGCTGAACTCCAAATTTTAAAAAAATCTATGTTTAGAATGAAGACTATTTACTATAAATAAATATGCAAAAATGAATAAATAAATAAAACTTTCAGAGCACACAGCCTAGATGGGCCCTATAGAACAAAGGCAAATTTTAAGTTAATTCTATATATCTCTCACAAAAGAAAAATGTCAACCAGATTTTTATTTGTCCCATTGATATTTCCAGCACAAATAGTGTTTCTCCAAAGCTACTAATACCTTAGCCATATAATATCTTTCTGCAGAACAATGGACCAAAACAGCAGGATCATTCCATAGGAAATGCCCCTTACCAGTTCTTCGTACTGTTTTTCTTGAAGGTTAAACTCCAAGCCAAACCAATCCTCCTTATGAGAGTAAAGTCAAATTACAGTTTATGACTGTATACGTTACATGCTACTCCTTGCCATGCCTGCTTTCACAGCTATCATAAGAAGTGCAATTTCACTAAGACAATATAATCTATATAACAATAAATAAATTAAAATGATTTTTTTTTCAAATAGGCTGGATTTCTCTCCCAAAATATACAGTAAGATCTTCATACTGGTTTAGTAAAGAGCCTCAAAGTCTCACTTACTTATCCACTAGGCAGATGCAAGGAAATCTTGCCTTTGCAAAGTAACTTAGTGGAAGGGTATACAACACAAATAACAGTCTTACTAAGCTATTTTGTTATACTAGACCACTTTGCAAAATTCATTTCTGAATTCCATCCTCAAATATAAATTGAGAATGTAGATAACTCTGTCAGGCTAAATTTCTACTTTACAAAAAAGTGGGGTGGGGAGGACAAATAAATAAACCAGATTCACAACTATTTAAGTGAAAAAAAGGTACTACCTCTATCCTATATGAATCAAGAGTACAAAGACTTTCACCAGCCTAATCAAGATAACATTGTGTCTAACGATGTGAAGATTAGCCAAAGACCATGCTGTGATCAAGTGACTGAAGTAAAACTTGAAAGGAAGAAAGAGAGAAAGGAAGAAAGGAAGCAAGCAAGCAAGAAAGAGGGAAAGACAACCCATGGAATGGGAGAAAATATTTGCAAATCATAAATCTAATAAGGGACTTATAACTGGAATATATAAAGAACTCTTACAACTCGCCAATAAAAAGACAACGTAATTAGAAAATGGGCGTAGGATTTGAATGGACATTTCTCAAAAGAAGATATACAAATCGCTAATAGGCACATAAAAAAATTCACCATTAGTTAACAGGGTAATGCAAATCAAAACCACAATGAGATACTACTTCACACACCCAACAGGATAGTTATAATTTTTTTTAAATGCAAAATAAGAGTTGGCGAGCATGTAGACAAACAGGAATCTTTTTACCTCGCTGGTGAGATTGTAAAATGATGGAGCTGCTTTCTGAAACACTTTGACAGCTCTTCAAAAAGTTAAACATAGAGTTAGCATATGACGCAGCAATTCTACTTCTAAGTAGCTGCCCAAGCAAAACAAAAACGCGTGTCCACGGAAAACCTTGTACACAAATGCGATTTAGCAAATTACTCATAAAGTCAAAAAGTGGAAACAACCTAAATGTCCAACAATTGATGGAAACAAAAACAAAATACAGTATATCCTTATAATGAAATATTTGGCAATAAAAAAGAAAAAAATGGTGATACACGCTACAACACAGATTAACCTTAAAAAATTATGCTAAGTGAAACAAGGCAGTCACAGAAGGCCACATAACATGGTTTCATTTATATGAGGCGGAACAGGCAAATTGACAGCAACTATGAGCTGGGAGGAGGGGAGGAGTGACAGCTAATGGGTATGGGGTTTCTTTCTGGGGTGATGAAAATGTTTTGAAATTAGATAGTGGTGACAGTTGTACAACTCTGTGAATATACCAAAAACCACTGAATTGTACACTTTAAAAGAGCAAATTTTATGGTATATGAATTATATCTCAAGAAAGCTGTTATTTTAAAAAGAAAACAATGAATAAACTGAAAAGCATAATTTTGACACAGGATATGAATATTTTCATTGTATATTTTAATACTACCATGACTGTGTCAGGAAAATCATAAATCAGAGGTTTCCTTTGGGGATCGTAAAGTTGACACTAAAATTGGGAAAGCATGTTTATAAAGAAACTTAATTCTAGGAAGTTACACGGTGAAGGCACAGTAACTCAGGTTTCTAGGAAGCTTTTCCCAAATATATGACTTTCTTGAGAGGGACTAAAATGAAATCAAAATGTGCCACAAATTTCTGCTTCTATATATTCTGCATGTGTGTTCATCCTTGTCCATGTTTCTACTCCTGGCCTACCAGATTGGAACCATGAGCTCAAAGCATGACACCTAAACCCCCTTTATTTAATAATAGCCCAGATTAAATAAACACTAACTGTTAAAATTACAGAACATTAGAATGTTAGGATTACACACAGGGGCCTCATATCATTATCTCCCCCTCCTCTCAATCCATTCCAGGTAGAGTCACGCATTCCAGAAATGCAGTTATCTGATTTCTTTTAAATTTTGAGAGAAAAGATCAAATACTTCTTTTAGAAAAGTTTGTTCCTTTTTTCAAAACTTGTTTTAAACTGCCATACCAACTAAAACAAATAGAAATGCCAGGGTCGTTCAGACAAATAAGTAATAATGGGAAAACATTCGGTCTACTGTGATTATATGCCTAATTCAATACCATTTTGGCTTCAAACAGCAACCAAATACCTTAACACTGGTAGAAAAGCATTAAAAACCTCTCAAAAATAACTTCACTGTACAAAAATTCAGCTTAAGAGAAGAAATAAACCTTAAATCTAGCCATGCAATAACAGCATAATCCTACAGCTGTCCTCTCAGCCTTGAGGGAAACAACTGGATGGATGACCTTAATTCAGATGAATTTCCCTCACAGCATCACCTAGATGTAATACATTTCATTATTTCCATCTTTCTGAAAACAATAAAGGCCTGAATTCTAGCAAACAGCCAATGGTTTTAGAAGTGCTGACGGCGCAGGATTCTTTGATATATGTGGATGAGGGACTTGCTGTCACCTCACATGCCATACCTGGTATGCACTGTGCCGTGGCCTCAGTGGTAATGGTTGGAGCAACTGGGGGCTGCTGCTGACTGGAGCTCACTTCTGGCTCTGTATTAACAGAGGGAGAAAGGGCTACCTCACAGGAGGAGACCTGGCTGGGCAGATGGGGCAGGAACTCTTCAGAGGCAACTTGCTCATCCTGTCCAGGTAGCTGCAGGGCAGACAAAGGGATGCTGATCTGTTTGTTAGGATGGGATGTGCTCACAGGCATCTGCATGGCCACCTGCTGGTTGGCACCATGGGCACCAGGGGGTCCTCTGTTTGGTGAAGCCAGAGATACCCTGGCAGTCTTCTGGACGATTGGTCTGGACATCACAGAGGGGGAGGCAGACACACCATGTGGGTCAAGCTCTGTGCCAATGGCAGATGTTACATGGGGAATCAGCTTAGCAGACCCTACACAGGAGGGACCAGCATGAGTCTGAGGCTTGGGCTTTGCCATCTGTGTCAATGATAGGGCTGGTCCGTCTACCCCTCCAGTCAGCTCTGCATTTGCCACAATGTAATAATCTTCAGGAATCTCTTGTTTGATTTTCTTAATGATGACATCACTGCTGCATTCATCAACCATCTGAGCCTGGGAGCTTGAATGGAGAGAAGAAGGGATTATTCCAGGCCTTTTTCGAGCAAGGCTTTGAGGCCTTTGGGTTTGGGGTTCAAAATCACTATCCTCATCTGTAACAGAAGACTCACAAACCATGTCAAACAGGGTGTTTTCATCTTCATATTCTTCAACAGCTTCATCCAGTTCAGATGGCTCACTGCAATAAGAGAAGTCACAAGAGTCTCTGGTCCGATTACAGTCTAGCTTCGCTTTCACTGGTCTCCCAGGGTACCTTTCAACAGGGCTAGTTTGTGTCTCAGAGGGCACTCCAATTATACTGGGACTATCAGAGTTAAAACTTCTGTTATCTTGGAAACAGACCCTTTCTTGGGACCCAGCTCTGCAAGTGGCTGTCAGTGGCCAGTGATAAGCATGGCCAGCACTACAGCCCCACATTGCTGTCAGGTTCCCATGGGAACCTTCCGAAAGCAAGTGTTTCAGGTTTGGAATGAGGCTGCAAATGGTCCCATGGCTGTGGGCCCAGCTGACCAATTTGGACAGATTCTCAGATGAGGTATGAAGGCAATCCTCCATGTTACTGGATCAGCAGTGTCTTTCCTAAAGAAAAATAATCAAAATAAGAAGCCATTATTACCCAAGATATTCCCATATCTCAATTACTTCAATTTCCTTGAACTATGATCATCTGGCATAAAAAAACTCACTTCAAAACTTTATCTAGTTTTTATCACTGCATATGGGCAGGGACTGGAAGAGAATACAGGAAAAAGTAAAAACAGCTGATGCCTTACGGCCAGGGGATTTCAGAAAATTTTTGTTAGTTTCCTTTACTATAGTAATAATGTTTGCATAAGGAAAAAAGAGGAAAAGAAAAAAGAAATAATTAAGCAATAAAAAAGAGGTGAGCTCTTTCACAATACATTTTACTTGCAAAGTCACAGAGAGCTTCAGCCAGGCCCTTAATACTAAAATGTGTATATTAGGGGCCAGCCTGGTGGCTTAGCAGTTAAGTGTGCACGTTCTGCTTCTCGGCAGCCCAGGGTTCACCGGTTCGGATCCCGGTGCGGACATGGCACCGCTTCGTAAAAGCCATGCTGTGGTAGGCGTCCCACATATAAAGTAGAGAAGACGGGCATGGATGTTAGCTCAGAGCCAGTCTTCCCCAGAAAAAAGAGGAGGATTGGCAGTAGTTAGCTCAGGGCTAATCTTCCCCACCCCACCCCACCCCCAAAAAAGTGTATATTATTTGTATTAACCAAGAGGATACACTTCTAACTTCACTCTCCACCATCAGAAACCTCTTTACTAGAGGCAGAGCCAACAAAGACTTACATCCATTCTAGGATGGGGTCAGAGAAGGAAAGTCAATCCTCTGCTGGGCACCAAAAGACAAAAAACACAATTGGAAGTCCAAGGAGAGAATGAGGGGCTAAATCTGGGAAGTGGGAAGAAAAGTCTTTAGCTGAAAAGGGAGAACAGATTGGGAGGAGAGCAGCTAGAGGGCCCCTGCTGGGTCAGTGGTGTAGGCAGGCTCTAGATCAGATGCAAGGATAGGTAGGGTTGGGTGCCAGCACTCCAACAAAATCTTAGGAGCAGGCTTCCCACCTCCTTACTGTCTGAAATTTCTGAAATACTGCCTTTCACTTCACAATTAGAGGTAAGAGATGTGTCTGGTGTATTCCACCATCGGAGTTTCTTGTACACCCAAGGATAACCAACTACAAAACGGGAGTAAATCATTCTTTATTGGGCAGAGGTCAAAAGATTCATCACTTGTTATGGATCCTTGACTGGGTAAGAGTAAGGACACAATGGACAGCAAAAGTGAAAGGGGGCATGTGGAGTTTGCATATGAGTAGAAAGGTCAAGTAAGACTCTACCAAAGGCAACAACCTGGAGAAAATTGGGCAGTGAAAAACGAGGATCTTGATATGGGGTTTAGTCTGCCCTGATCATCTGCCGCTAGAGGTAGGCTCTGCACTAAGGCACCAAGATCTAACGGCAACGCCAGGCGGCCACGTGAAAGGACACATCTGAGCCTCTATTCCCTGCCCTATCTCCACGGCACGCCATCAGCAGAGTTAGGTAAATTCAAGTCCTTTAACATGTTATGAGGCCTCTGTGATGCAGCCATGGCCAAGGTGAACCTCTCAAGTGTCTTTTCCTACTACCATGGCCTTTTCCCGCATTTCTTATGGTCCCCTCTTCTCTAAATGTAAGTTTCTCACTCCCAGTGGGCCTCTAAAAACTCATTCTTCACCTGGAAAACCTGCTCAAGACTAAACTCAGGATCACCTCCTGTTGAAGTCTTTCCTCTTTAGCCTCAGAGATTTATTTAGATTCTCTTCATCTGCGCCTGCATCCTCTCGAGGAACTTTGCCTTTGCTGTACTGACATATTTGACAATGACATTCTTGTCTATCCCCAGACTTGACTAAGGATTCCCTGAGCACAGGGGCTATGATATAATTATTCATTCATCAATGAGGACCTACTTGGGGATACAGAAATTAATAAGACATGGTCCTGTTCTTGAGACCTTATAATCTATTGTTGGTAGTGAATAAATGAAGAATGAATAAATGAGTGAATATATAAATAATGGCAGCATCATCAACACTAATGAAGTGAACATATGTCTCCCAAAGAAGAAACACAAAATTTCCTCCAATCACTTTTATTGTAGTCATTCAAGGGATTAGAAGATTCTCTCCCCAATGGTGTAACCAAAACACAGCTGTCTTGTGTATGTAGGAGAGTAATACATAAACAACCAGATTTTATGAAGCAGCACAGTAAACGGAAAAAATAGTGACTGCCGTGGGATTCAGGAACTTCAAATTCTAGTTCTGGAACTGATGTCTGTGGCCTCGGACAAACCACTAATTATCTCAGTCTAAAATGACAGGACTATATGATCTTTATGTTTCCTTCGCACTCTAGCAATTTTATGCACTTCTTTCATACAACTTCAGTTAAAGTAGAAATGCACATAAAAGAGAAAGACTGGTTTAGTCTGTTTTTTGAGCTTTCTTAACATATCTATTTCACTGGTGTGGCAGAGACTGCTATCTACCTATCCACTGTCCACTCTCTCTTATTCCTTACAGAGAGTCCCAGTTTATTGGGGAAGCAATACTCTCTCCTAAAATATACTTCCCAGCTTCCCTTGAAACAGCGGTGGCCACAGGACACAGTTCTGGCCAATGATATGTACCTAGAAGTCACTGGGTGGGGCTTCTGGGAAAGCCCTTTGAAACACAGACTTGTCTGGTTTTTGCCTTCTTGCCCTTCCTGCCAGAACAAGGACATGATGACTGGACTCCAAGGCCATCTTGAGAGCATGAAACAAGAACTTAAGGATGGGAGAGACTAGCCAGAAGGAGCCTGGCTCCCTGGTGACATCAGGGAGCCACTGCATCAGCTCTGAACTACGGAGGATTCCTTGTTATGTAAGAGAAAGATAAACCCCTAATCTTGCGTAAGCCACTATTGTTGGAGCATTTGATTACACACAGCTGAACTCGATTACAAACTGATACACAAAAAACAATACATTCATCTCTGGTTTGTGAAACCTTAGAACCAAATCCCTCATTTTTCTCTGGAATTGTTTCTCAGACTGGATTCCACAAATAAATTCTTTGGAGGTCTATAATTCTAAGCCGAAATGTTTATAACTGCTTTCACTTTAATCATAACAAAACCTCAATTAATATAAGCATATTATGAATCATCTAAATAATCACCTTATATTTGAGTGTTGCCATGTAATTTCTGCTCTCCTTTGCTTTTGCATCTACACTCACATTAGTGTCCATAATCACCTAACGTGACATCATTCAACTTCCAATTCACTGGGAAACCTCTTCATACTGTATTCTCTTTAGCAGACATAAATACAGAATTTCTCTTTTGCGTTAATAAGTTTCAAATGAAAGGCTTCATGATTTGACATCATGAAAATGGCACATGTGATGGTGAAGCAATATACCATTTTGAGTGTCATAAGCTCACGAGAAAATAAAAGGGAGTTGAAATAAATCATATATGTTCATAGAAAGAAATACATTATGGCACAAAATTTGAATAAAGATGTCAAAACAGTTCAAATATGTAAAAATGTGACAGAATCAAAACAAAATATTGTATAAGAATGTGGAACTCAAAAGAACTTACTGTCCAGGTAAAAGCTACTATATGGTAGTAAAATAACACCTTTACTGAAGGCCCCACAGCCAGAAAAAAATTATAATTAAAATAAATGAAAGACAAAGTGGATAAAATTTAAAATTTTGTTAAAAGCTTATCTACGTAATTCTATAATAATCATCAACCTTTAAGAATCAACAGGTAGTAATCATAAGTCACTTTTATTACATTCTGAAGTTCACTAGCAATTTCATGAAGAGGCTCTTAAACTTTTCTTGAGTACCATAAAATGAAAATATTTTTCCAGTATTACTATTAATATATTTCAACCAGGCAACCAAAGTTAACTGGTAGTTATGAGAGCATAATTAGCTAATATTTAAGGTAATTGAATGGATTGAATCCAAGCTGACAAGTAATAGCTATCAACATACTGCAATATATTCGAAGTTGGATACAAATCAGAATCAACGGTAAGACAATCAAGGTATTTTCAAACTGCTGAGGATAAGTATTTTCTAGAATCTACTGATTTCCTTCAACAGTCTCATGATAAGCTCTATACCAATAACGCTTTTTCTACATTTTCAAGAATTGAAAAATAACTTCCAATAGTATTCTTTCATATCTGATATGGGCAACGACTGGATTAGACACAGCTTTTACAGAGTTATCATGCGACACTTCATTAAAAACTGACACTCAAGGAGTCCTGCCTAGCAGAGTTTAGGTTAAATATGAGATTTGATTATCCTAAATTAGCAAACGAAGCTTTAACATTATTATCGCCACACTGTATATTAACTCAGGCAATCAGACATTCTATGCAGTAGTATTTATATTACTACAGTCAAAATGAGAAGCACTTTAGATATAGAATTAGATCTTCTATCATTAAACCCAACATTGATCATTAGGTTTCAGCAGAACAATATAAAACTATTATTACAGCTAATATTTTTCGAACAATTATTGTTCGCCAGGCATTGTTCAAGGACTTGACATACCAATAATCCTAATTCTACCAAGAATCCTGATGATTTAGGTGAATCTTAGCCTCATTTTATAAACGAGTACATTCATTTCACTTGGACAAAGCAATGGTGGAGCCAAAATATGAACTTCAGTCTTACTTCAGGGGCCATGCTCTTAATTAACATACTACACTGCCCCAGCATTGTCATGATAGAAAGATACCATCTCAAGCCTGGTCCCCTATCACACTAACGTTGTTAATTTGAATTTGTTGGCATTATAGTTTTACTTTAGTTGAATCTGTATGTCTGTTTTGGTTTATAGCTATATCAGAACTACAAGCATAATTTTATGTTTATACATATTTAAATAACGTTATGATAAAAACGAGTTCCATAAAAATATTTTTCTTTCAAAAATTTGAGAAAAACTTCTTTACAGGAAAAAGAAAGTATAAAAAGATTATGTCA